ACTTAAAGCATTTGGACTCTTGATCTAAATCCTGAAACCACAGTTTAATATGACAAAAACCAAAGAAGAATATCTACTAAGGACATAATTATCTAAAATATATAAACTGATGTTATTGTAGTTTATTCTGATGCCAAATCTTAATCAACTTTCTCCTAAACACTCTGATAGAATATTTTTCATTTTGCAAAGACACATCAGTTTGCTCATTTGAATTATGAAAGTTGAAGAGTTTGAAAAAAAAATTTAGACCAGGAACCATTGATGTTCATAAGAAATTGTTGTTTATAGCAGTTCTGCTCATCTGTTATGTTTTCAACCATGCATAATGGAAAGGTATGACATATTTTAATAAACCTGAAAGATCAGGTACATTTTTAAAGAGAAGTTCACACTGTTAAAAAAAGTGACCAGAATTCAAAATTTCAAGGCACCAGACTTCAGGAAAAACTTCAGGTCTTCAACTAAGCTTTATAAGTTTTGCTTTTGTCTCTGCCAGTTTTCAGTTCAATACAGTTTTAAAATTATAAGTCTTGCAGTGCTCTCCGGTGACCAAAATGTGCAACAACAGAGTCCAACATAATGAACAGACATGTCTGAGACATACAGATAACAAGCAAAATAGCATAAACAATAAATCAAAATTACTCAGTAACACCGAGTAACACTATTCTCTCAGCACATATCTGCTACACCACTACTTACCTGAAATGTCTTCCAAATTCATTCTACTATTTGGCCGTCTTTTGTGATAACTTGAACAAAAATCAGTAACTAATCTGTTTGATGTGAAGGATATTTCTGTTCATACAGAAAATAAGGTTACAGTTTCCAACTAATCTTTATAAAACAAATAAATATCTAATATCTCGTTAAAAAGAATCAGATTTCCCACAATGTTCTTCCTGAACATTTTTGGCCAACAAGAACAGTCCACATGTCACTGAATGAATGTCTCTCCCTTGTATAAAAAGAAATTTACATGCATGAGTGCATCATAAAAATATCAATTTTTTTTTTACCTTATCCACATATCCACAACCAGCTGTTTCATTACTCTTGATATTCACATTTTTTGCTTAAAACTTTGTTGATGAAGCTTAAAATTGAGTTATTTCCACTGATCATCTTTAAGATGTTTCTACAGATGGAGTCCACCTGTGGTAAATTGGGTTGACTGGACTTGGAAATTCACTCACCTCTATAAATGAGGTCCTACAGTTGATGATGCAGGTCAGAAGTCAAACACCAAAAATGAAATCAAAATGATTCATTGTATGTAGATTTCTGTGACAGGATTGTGTTGAGACTAATTCAGATGTGAATACTTTCCAGACGCACTGTGCAGAGGTGGGATAAAGTTTTTGCTCTCTTCATAATGTCCTTTAGTTTTATGTGTCCTTTTAAGTGTTTCAGATTGTTTGCAAACCATAAAATTAGACAATATCACAACACAAACTGCAAATTCTAAATTAAGGTGTTTATTATGAAGAAGAAAAAAAACACATCAACAAATCATCACCCCTCCTGTTCCATAAGTGTTGTTTTGTGTCAATATAGCCTCTGAGGGTTGTTTTATTTGTCTTCTAGTTGTGAAGACTCCTTTGTTTAGTTTGATCATGTTCATATTTTCTTTCAGTGAGACAGCATCACAAAACATTTCTGTGCAGGCAGCATACAAGGCTACCTACTTCAACCGACTTTTGTTGGAACTGATGTCAAATCGATTATTGTGAAGGATCAGATTTTCATCTTCACTCTTTCCTGAACATTTTTGTCCAACAAGAATAAACTTGCCAGTTATTAAAACTAGTTGTCATGTATGACAAACAACAAATTAATCAGACTCTAAAGATGAGTTAAAATAATCTCCGTCTTCAGAAAATCTACTGCGTTTAGATATCATGAACATAAATGTTATGAAAATAATTGAAAAACTCCATCTTACACAACCAGATTTAGCATTTGTTATAAATTCAAACATTTTTCACATTTGTGTATAGAAAGCAAAAGAAAAAAACAGTTGAATTAAAAAAAAGTGCAGAAACATGTTTAACATCTATGAGTTTTTAAATATTCTGATATACATTCATTTTGGACACAAAAAATTTAATTAATAAAACAATGACAATTTACAGTAAACTACATTTCAATATATCAACTCTGTAGCAACTTATTTTACACAATAATGTTGGCACTGCAATACTTATGCTTGTTAATGATTTCAAATAAAGCTCAGATGTCAGTTTTATTTTCTATCCTGCGTATTAAAGTTAGTGCATTGTTGAGCCTCTTTGTGATGTTTGAGAACATGCTGACATCATTTTGTTTTTCCTTTCAGTGAAAAAACTTTTTCTGTCATTAGATTAGGAGACTTTCTTCAATGTTTCAGTAAAAGTTGCTGGAGGGTAAAACCCCAGAGCTGATCTCAGCTGGTCTCGCACTTTACTGCAGCCATTCAGGAACCTGGTCATATAATTGTAGATTCCCAAACTTTATAATTCTCCCACAATCTGAGTCCTTATCGTCACTCACTGAAACAGAAGAGGAAACTTTAGTTCCATATTTTATATTTCTTTGTATCTGCTTGATTATTTTCATTGTATTTATTTAGTTTAGCAATTCCTGGTGTCATTATTGAATATGTTGTATGTTTGGTTCTCTGTTAGATCTGACTATGAAAACTCCTTTCTAAAGAAAATCAGATTGCTATGGAAAAAGTGTGCAGTAAAATGCATGAGATTACATATGAACACAAAACTTTCAATTTGATTAAGTTACACTTACTGGATGGCATGTAGCCCTCGTCCATGCTACTTGATGTTTCTGTAAAAGGTACCGTTGGTTCCTCTGGTTCATTTGACAAAGCCTCCAACATTTTGTCTATCAGGTTCTGCTCCCGTTTGTTCCACTCGTCTTCGGTCAGCATGCATTGTTTTGTTGCAGAGGTAGAATCCGAATCTGCACGTTCTCTTTTTGTATGTTTTGTTGTGAACCATCCCTTGTTTTGAGTCACCATGACAAACATTTTTTGAAACAGCTCTTTCAACTGAACCGGATCATCAGAACTCTTAGGATTTATAACATGGTATCTGTTCCCACATTTCTCCAGAAGCTCCTGGAGCTCCTTTCCCTCTCTGACGATGTAATTCTCTACAGGGACGTCATTGATCCAGTCTCCCCTGGTAAACAGCACCATGCAGTGTCTCCACACTCTCTCTGTTAATGGCTTCATGATCTCCAGCAGAGCTTTGAGATCTTTCTCTGTGAAAGATCTGAAGATGGGAACAAGCAGGAGAAAAACATGAGGTCCAGGAGAACACATGGAGACACTGTGGAGAACTTCATCTTTGATCCAGTCAGGTGGTGTTGGGTCTGAGAACCAGCCTGGAGTTTCAACAACTGAGACTTTTACTCCATCAAAGTTTCCTTCATGTTTCACACACGTTGAAGTTTCTCTCTGATCTTCTTTGTTCTGAAATTATATAAAGCAAACACACAAAATTTATTCTTGAGGCACAATAAAAAAAAATTGAAAAGGTCTGTAATTAATTTACTGCAAATTTTTGCATTTTTGTATAAAAGTCATATAGTCAAAATAAGCAACATTTCAGATAAAAAAAAAAAAACTTTTGCTGCTAAGTGGACTAAACAGACATTATATCCAGCATTTATCATTTTTAATATGATTTGTCATTCAACCATAAGATTGATACAAAGTACAGTGCTATTATACCAAGTGTTTCAGGAACCCCTGATTATTCCTGTAATTTGTTTAAAAAAATAATTCTTTAAATTTTTATGCTGACATAAAAATTTGTCAGCATAAAAATAGCTAACTGCTATTTAATGCTAAATAGCAGTTAGCATTAGCCTCCATGGAAACTAATCAGATGAAAACTTTAAGTGTGTTACCCATTACAGGCAAGATCATATTTGTTCACAACTTTCCCACAGAAACCCAAACCCTCAGGACTTTTGTGTTTGCTGCAACATGTTTTGCAGATGTTATTGTAGGCTTTAATCACTTTGGAGATGGGCTCACTTATCTTCTACAACTGATACAAAACAATTGTCTTTTTTAGCTTCCCATCCGATAATTTTTTGAAGCAAAAATTAACACCCAATGAGAAAACAAGAATGACTTTGTCATGTCCATCATTGTGGTTTCCAGTGCATCACTTTTAAAGATGTATAGGAAGAAACACAAAACAAAGATCCCAGCTTGAGACTTTTATGGAAGTCTGTTACCACTGAAAGAAATCTCATAGTTTTATAACTTACCTACCTCATAAGAGGTACAGAGTCATAGAACAGAGTCAACAAATGTAACAAATGCCATTGTTACACATCAGAATGCTGATTAATGTTTAATTTATGTTTCAAAAACAACTCTAAACAGATGGGTTTTTAGTCTATTTTTAAAAGTACTCGGTGTTTCGGCTGTTTTGCAGTTTTCTGGAAGTTTGTTCCAGATTTGTGGTGCATAGACGCTGAATGCTGCTTCTCCAGATTTGGTTCTGGTTCTGGGGATGCAGAGCAGGTCAGAACCAGAAGACCTGAGTTGTCTGGAAGGTTGATTCAGAAACAGCAGATCTTTAATGTATAGTGACGCTAAGTTCAGTGATTTATAAACTAACAGCAGTATTTTAAAATCTATTCTCACTAGCCAGTGTAAGGACCTGGGGTGATGAGCTCTAGTGGAGAACATGAGCATATATAGACTGTGTCAAATGTTTTTGCATGCATGTTGTGTTACCTTTTTCAACCAAGCTCTCTCAAAGTTTATATTGAAGCTCTTGTTGAAAAGAACCAGATTTCCAGCTTTACTTTTTCCAGAGCATTTGTGGCCAATAAGAACAATATTGATTTCAGTGACTTTGTGTCTCTCGTCTGTAAAACAAACAAAAATTACAGTAATGGTTTAAATACTAAAACATACATATTTTATGACTTTATCATAAAACATGTCTTATTTATTGCCTACCTTCAAACATCCCTTTCAGGACTCTTGTCTTTCTCTCATTGATCGTCTTCAACCTTCTGGCCATCTTGTCTCCAGTCTCTCTCTTGGTTTCTAGCTCTGCTGCTCGGTCCAGCTCCACTTCATAGTAAGGATCTTCATTTCCTGCCCACATCTCTTCAATCTTCTCCAGTAGTTCCTTTACCTGAGTCTTATCACTGTGGTCCTTGTTGTTCAGGACATGATACCTGTTCTCACACTTGTTCACTATCCACTGCAGACCTTCATCACTCTCTATTCGCTCCTCTACAGTCTTCACTCCTAACCAGTCTCCATAGGTGAACAGAACAAGTGTGTGTTTCCAGATTTCTTCTCTAAACAGACTCATGTGTTCCTGAACAGATCTCAGATATGATTCATCAATGTTCATCATCACAGGAATAACCAGCAGCACAGCATGTGGTCCTGGAGGACACAGATTCACACTGTTCTCTATTTCCAGTTTATCCATCTNGATTGTTGATATCACATCTGTTCTTTTCATACCAATGCTATCATTGATTATATTAACAAGGAGTGGTTTACAATCAGGACATTAAAGCTTAAAAACTCATACCTGAAATATTCTTTAGTTAAAAAAATTAGTTCTTAAAGCTAATTTCAGAATAAGCTCCTCTTTCCATTTTCGTCTATAAAAAAATGCTTAACCCTTTCATGATCAAACACTGAGGTCAAATAAACTTCTTAAAATTTATGTTTCAAGCTTTGTACAACTCATTCAGATAAGATTATTTTTTAATTACATCTTTAAAAATGTTAAATGAAAATCTAATGCAAGGTACAAAACACAAAAGGAAGGTACAGCATGTACAATATATGAGGAGTAATACTTTTACATAATCATAAAAGATAAACAGATGTTATTACTGATATGTATTTTCTCTCAAATCTCAATCAATAATTACATTTACTCTTCAAAGTTGCTTCAATAAGACAAAAAAAAAACAGACCATTATCTAACAGAAAGTAGAATGGGATCTACATCAAGATGATGAAAACTATTTAAATATTGAAGTTCAATGTATATAAAACTAAGTAGGATGTTCATTTATAAGAAAGAAATATGGAAATGTTTTACCGCTCTAGAGATATTACCCATCTAGTGTCAACATGCCTACATTTTTTGCAGATTAGTTTTAAAAGTACTTATTTAAATAGATATATATTTTTACAAACCTTTAGCAGAAGTGAGTTCTTTGTTCTTTTCCTAAATTTGCATCTTGACTTTAATCGATTTCAGAACTTTCATCAAAGTTTTCCATGTAAGTGTTTGAGGAAGAAATGCTCTCAATCCCAGAGCTGATCTCTGACTCTCTCACTCCGTTATTCAGCCATTCAGCAACTTGGTCATGTCCTCGTCGTCTCTGTTTCTCTGAAATGCTCCCATATTCTGAGGCAACATCTCCACTCACTGAAACAGACATTGATGTGTTATTCAAGAGAAGAAAGCATGAAATAAAGGCTGTAAAGTCAACATTAATTCATTATTAGATAAAACTTACTGCTGGGAATGTCAAATTCATCTTTGCTCCATGCTGTTCTCACATGAGGTTCTGTTGGTTTTTCTGGTTCCTTTGCTAAAGCTTTCATCATTCTCTCTATCAGCTCCTGTTCTCTCCTGTTCCATTCCTCTTCTTTCTGTTTTGTTTGCCAAGGTAGAATAGGAAGTTTCTTTTGTTTGGGTTTAATTGTGAAGCATCCTCTGTTTTGTT